ATGGTCCCTTAAAGTTGCATTCTTCCATAAGGACTTTTATGGGAACATAACTTACTATCATATATATCACTAATAATAAACCAGTAACCGATAAAATGGTGTGGTCGTTGAAATAATTAATTAAAAAATAATTTAATACTGTAACATCACTTAATCCCTCTATCGTACATAATTCTCAGTTCGCGAATCCTTGCACTTCTATTTTTGTAAATTTGGATATTGGATAGTGTATTTGTCTTTTGAAACACGAAGTGTTTATTTTGGAAGCGCCGATTGAAATATTGTATTCGATTGAGCAAATGAATCACATTTTAAATTTAAGCAAATTCGCTAAACTCCATTTGTTATTGTTACTGCGGAGATCACCTTGCACTTCCGTGAAATTGAATCATCAAATTATCATCTCTGGCTCACACTGCATGCAATATCTATCATGTCTGCTTCAGGTTACTGAACGTTTTCTCTCATGCTTGTTAAATAGGTACACATACAAGTAATGGCACGCTGGACCGACTCTCATTATTTTCTCACCATATGGACATTCGATAACAAATCCTCAGTTGCCGATCAATAGGGTCATATCATGCAGCAAGAATAGAAATGGATGCATAATTCGAATTCATCTGATATTAACACGCGGACTTTACATTAGCCTTATCAAAGATTGTATATGGATTGCAATTCAACTGATCAATAATGAAAGATATTATCATCCTTGACAAGTAACTGTCTTCACAATCTTTTTGTTCATTTGTGTTGTAGAAATGAAGTTCTTATTGACGCTATGACTGTATGTCTATCTACTGCTTTTTAACTTCAAACTATTTTCATGTTACTCGCGGAAATTCAACCCTTTATAAATGTCTCCAGTAGCTCATGAGTAGGGAGTCGAGTCTTTTACACATATGGGGTCCGTACTTAGACCAGCAATCAAAATTTTTGTGGGGTGAGTGCAGTCAAGAAAGACAGCCTGTTGCGGTACATGAGACATGAGATGCACATGATGAGTTTGCACCTCGGGTTCCTCAGATAATAGCTGAGCGCCCTGAGTACGCCCCTGATAATAACGTAATGAACAAACCACGATCGCTTTTTACTCATTAGAAATCATGGATAACCTAAACAAGTTAATTAAACTAAAATTCTGAGTGTGCTATTAATTTTTTTTTAAAACTAAACCCAAAAATGCTGCAGCAATTCAGCTAATAAATGGGTTTTATTTTTCGATTGAGAAGGTTGTGGATAAGTTTCCTTCCATGAATGATCATATGGGATTGAATCAACTTTCGAAGGGCTGTAAAACTGTTTTTATTATATTCAAATTTACACCCTAGCTCATTGCTATATTGAGATGTAGGGTCAGTAAAGACAAAATGGAAATAAATATATAGAACGTATCGTTTTCTTTTTTCAATTATGTTTACTGCAATCAGCGACGAAATACTGTGTCAATAGAACAACATTTCGATTGCAAAGGAAGTCAAAAGCCAAACCGTTTAAAGAAGCATTACCCAATTTAACTTGTTATCATCTAAAAATTTCGAAATAATTGTATACAAATAAATAATCCTATTTGCAGCGAACTTACACAAATGCATGAATTGTTTAAAAAAAAACAAAATAAGTACTTATGTTTAGGTATGTTACACTACAAAGATACCTCTCAAATTCAATAACGTAGGAAGTTTTAAGATACTAACTGTCATATCTAACGTATTCCTAATCAAAATTTAAACTAAGGCGCGGTGCATCACGTTTTTTATTTGTGTCATACTTGCACACAACATTTATTATCTGTGTGATAATAAATATCTACATCGAAAATTTTTGCCTTTTAAAACCGATGTCGATTTATTTGACAAGTTACAGTTACAAGCGGGATTATGCAACATGACATCAAATTCTATTAAGACAGATAAAAGCTGGTTGTCCAAAATGCATTTACTAGAATAAGACCTATTTTGGATGATATTCCTTCAAAACGATTAAAGCTTAAAATCTTACTTTATTTTATTTATCTCTAAACTGAGCAGATAAATTATCGGATAACGGAGCTTAAGAGGTCGACATTTTCTTGGAAGGCTTCAATGGCGACCGTTTCTAAGAAAAGGGTGACTTTTTGGGCCCGAAGAATCTGTCGTATTTCGAACGATTAGCCCACCCAAGCATGAGAAATCGGCCGGATAGAAGTATGACCGGATAATAAAATGAGATAATTTAGTGCAAGCACATTGTATGGAAAGTGAATGGTTGTAGTTTATACGCACAGTTAAATAATACCATCATCACACGCATGTTTTTATATGAACACGACGAAAAAATTAAAAAATATTTTTAAAAACGCCATGGGAACTATAGAATTTACGTAGTTAATTCATGCAACCGACAAAAATGTGAAATAATAACTTACATTTTGTAAAAGATGCGCTGGTAGAAAACCGTAGGTAATCTGAAAAAAAAAAAGAATATTTGTTAACAAACTTTTGTGTATCATTCGATTTAACAACAACAGAAAACTGCGAAACCTATGTTATTTGAAGGACTTTCAAAATTAACATAAAAGGGGGAGCAAATATAGAAAACAGTAAATTAGTAATAATTTTGACAGGACAAAGCTTTAAAGTTCAAAAATCTCAGGACCGTAGTCCTGCAATTTCAGAATTGGCAATGCCACATTGGAATTTATTGTATTACGTAATTTCAACTTGGAAATCCTTTTATTATCGATTCTATGACTAAAGTATCTAACAATTGTTCAATGTACACCTTGCTGCAACTCCCACATTATCAATTAGGTACATGATAAAGGTAGTAATCAGTAAAAACAAAATTATAAATTCTAGCTACACAGTATATCATTCTTTTTTATTCTTTCTGTATTTACAGTTGAAAATTACGAAATAATAGAAGTGAGTTTTGTTAATACAATCTTACAATTATGACAATTTAATAGCAGTTTGAATGTATTGAATCCCTATTGACTCAATATATTCCAGACTTAAAGGGTCGGCAAGTAATTGTAGATGGAGTTCGGATGTTTTTGTTTATCGAGATTTAAAACAAAACTTATTCTTTCCTTCAACAAATGATAAGAGTGGCGCTTAAAACTCAAACAGACTGTTATCTACAAAAATATATTTTTAAATAACTTATTTGAGTAAGAAAAATTATTGGCGATCCAGTTTTTGACCTTACACGGTCCGGACCTGTACCGCGGTCTGTCAGTTTCTCTAAATTGTCAAAAGCTCAATCGTTTGAAAAATTGAAATTTGCATGAATTTTTTTATTTTATCTTGTGTTTGCGAGTGTTGGAAGTTGATTTGTCGTAATTTGGAAATGTGAATGTAAAGTCAACTGTTCCATCCCACTGATTACATCCCACCTACCAAACAAAACGGTGGCGTAGGAACTTCGTAATTGGCAAAACGTTTCGCAAATTTCGTAACAAGCACGCGCCCTTACATCAATGCATTTCGTTAACCTATTGTATCTACTGATTCGTTTCATACAAATCAAAAATGGTCATTTAAATATTGTTTAGCGCAGCCTACTACTTTAGCGCTATGGTTGCATTTTTATTCATTTTAATGACATACGAACAAATGTAGCGACACTCAGTGCATGGGCAGAGATTGATCCAAGGAAAAATGCAATATCCGGTATACCTACTTATCAGAAAATTTAAATTTAAACAATTTTTATGAGTACACATACCTACAATATTTAATCAACACAGAAATCGTTATCGTCATTGCTATTGACACGAAACACAGTAAAAATGTTTCAATAAAGTAAATCGAAAGACAAAAGCAATTTCTAACTATTCTGATGGAATGAATAATCATTGGAAGCACCAAATATTTCTACGACAAAAATAGATAATAAAACAGATACACACCTTTCAGTTAAAATAATTCACTAGGAGGAGTAATTCGGATGGCGGATTTTAATTCGAAGAATCCTTACGAAGCAAAAACTGTCGAACTATTTTACTACATACGAGAAATCTTCGGTATGCACAACCGTAATTGCTGTAGGAACATGTGAAGAAAATGTGACCAAACTCCTTCCACTTCTGTATCATTTCATATGTTTTCGGCGCTTCTGACTAGCGCGCTCTCGGTCATCATTCTATGGCCTGTGATTAATGACACTTGAGACGATGTGTGCGCCTCCTTATATATACACACACATAAAACGACAACGCATGTAAGTACCTACACGTAATAAATGCATTCATTTGTCCTGTATATTTGAATACCTGTCGATATACACTACGTCCCTCAGACACAAAAGTATGCACTATAACCACTGTATGTAAGCCTACGAACATTTTTACGCATGTACTATATCAGACAAAGTCACTATAACTTGTTACCAAATCCAAAGGACCTGTCGCTCCAGCCAGTTAGTGGAAAGTAGGCGAAATACTTACCCAACACCAAGCTGGCACTACACATCGTGTACCTCCAAATAGAAATGATATAGGGGTATATGGCTTCATCTCCTTGCTGTTTAGCGTCAGCGTCTACAAATTGTAGTTCTTGCAGTATTTCTCTGTGCCATTTTTTTTTTTGAGATAGTGTCAGCTTGATATTAGGCTAGCATATCGTCTGTTTTCTTAGTAATCGGTTTGAGCGACAAATTTTTGGATTTGATAACATGATTTGATAAAGAAATCTAACTTTGTTGTGACAGCTTGATCTTCGTCCTTTATTCTTTTCTATGCTGAACTAATTTTCGCATTTCCCTCAAACTACAGCATGTCCCGTCTTCATTTGCGTCAGTTAGATCTAATCCAGGACTTCTGTATTCCTGTTCCTATTCCCAAGATGTCTCCAATAATGTATATCATATTCCTACCCTTGACTGCATGTCCCGTCTTCATTTGCGTCAGTTAGATCTAATCCAGGACTTCTGTATTCCTGTTCCTATTCCCAAGATGTCTCCAACAATGTATATCATATTCCTACCCCTGATTGCATGTCCCGTCTTCATTTGCGTCAGTTAGATCTAATCCAGGACTTCTGTATTCCTGTTCCTATTCCCAAGATGTCTCCAACAATGTATATCACATTCCTACCCCTGATTGCATGTCCCGTCTTCATTTGCGTCAGTTAGATCTAATCCAGGACTTCTGTATTCCTGTTCCTATTCCCAAGATGTCTCTCCAACTATCAGTTTCCTATCCCTGACTGGTCTTCTCCTAATTTTCTTCCGTTATTTTCCATCCTTCCCTGCACTCATTGAAAGAATAGTATCACTTTCCTACCCCTGACTGTTCTTCCCTTAATTTTCTTCCGTTTTTTATTTTCCATCCTTCCCTGCACCCATTGAAGGAATAGTTAATAATTCTAAAATTCTCACATTTGTCCCCGTCACTTGTTTTTTGGCATGATTACCACCATGTTCCGGGTGACTACTCTAACCCTGACGTACTACACTTTTAAACGACACCTTTACCACTGGATAGAATGTGCTAAGGATATCTTTTCAGTATCAGTTTTTCACGACAGTATTCTGGGACTCACTGTAAGTAATTATACGCGCATATCCTTCAGTTCTTTCAAATTTGGCCAAGACCGCCGAAGTGAAGGCGGCACATTTCCCTATTATCATCATTTTACTTGTCACTGCTCCTTACATTTACATGTGCCCATAGTACCCGTGCAACAAACACAATACGTGTAATACATACATAGATAGACGTGCGTATGCGTGTGTGGTGAATGTACGTGGACGTAAATGGAGGTAAATTACAAGCAACGTTTGTTGCCTTGGTGGCGCTACGCTTTATATGGTCGTCTCTGACTGCTGAATCATACCAAGGCATTCTTTGACCGTAGGGGTCAATTCTAGAACTGCCATTTGCCAGTTGGCGAGGAAGATCCTTTAATAGAACCCGGCTCTATTCTGAGATAGTAGCGATGTTGTAATACTGCTTGTTACAAGAACGCAGCAATAATAAAGAAGTGCTTGAAATGGTAATCAATCATTTTGACGGTTTGTCTTTTATGTATCGACCTTTCACAACTGGTACGTTTCCTTACAGGTACTATCACACACAAAAAGAAATCCACTTTCCTTATAAAATGCACCATCTTATTAGTTATCAGATTGATATTCTAAAAGTATCCGTCAGTTTTAGAAAGATGATTTATGTTATAACGAATTTGCTCAAGTATTTTCATTACCAAACCCAATGTTGGGCCATCCATACAAAAAAAGTTTAGAAAGAAAAGATACCATTGGAAACACGAGGACCATTTCATAAAGACATGCCTACAGAACGGAATCAGAAATTCATGAAACCAAGAAGTCAAAACTAATACGCAAGCAGTAGAAGTAAAAAAAAATACCTGGAAGATTTGGGAAAAAAGAAGGGGAAGTCAGAGTTAGACAAGTATACAAACATAAAAGCAAGAGTTTCCGAAAAAAATAGACCCCAAACCCAAACACTGAGGATGAAGAAAATAAGGAAAATAATAAGGGAGTATTGGGCGAAGATTAAAACCAGAAGTTGCTTAAATGGAATTGGCGTGACTTACAGACCACCTAAACGAAGGAGGAAGACGTCGACCACCTTTCATCACCTTTTTTTAAGTGGATACTTGTTCTTTTAATGGAGTTGCTTGTTTTCTCAATGTACATTTTATTTATAAAAAATTTCAAAAACGCGCTGTTGAGACAGCAGGTAAAAGTTGGTCTGTGTTCTGTCGGAGCTGTCTGCGACACGCTGATGAGATCCAAAAAGATCGAAATCGCGATCCGCGTCTGCCAGTTTCGACAGAATACAGACCACTTCGAATTATTTTATTCGATTATGGTAAACGTGCCTATCACGTTGAGGTTAGTTACGCCGGGATTCGTTTCAGCAAGTAGATATCCATATATTTAAATGGACCTTGTTGGAGCAAACGTTATCCTAAAATGTAGCATCGTACTACAGATGGCGTTTACCGCGCCATTTGTGGTATTTTCTAAAACGCTAATAAGACAGCTGGTAAAGTTGGTCTGTGTTCTGTCGGGCTGTCTGCGACGCGCTGATGAGATCCAAAAACATTAAAATCGCGATCCGCGTTTGGCAGTTTCGACAGAATACAAACCACTTCGAATTGTTTTATTTTATATAAAAAAGACATCTTTTATTTTTTGTGAATGCATTACCTTTTTAGAAAAATTTTGACATCTTTTTTTAGTGTTTGTTAACTTCTTTTTAAAGTTATTCAATTTCAAGCACATTTTGATGACCCCCTTATCCTATATATAGGATAAACGTCCTTTGTGGATGAATCCTTACTTATTCTTGTCTCAATGCTACATTTTGAATATTTCGCAGTGGTGACGGTACTATTTGTATATATATATCGATTAAATGCTTTGAAATGTGTGCTTAAAACTTAAACTTGATTTCTTGCTTATTCTGAAACGATTCTCAGACATTCTAAT